GAGTGTCCAATCGTGACGTTTTCTTGCACACTGAGTTCAGCTTTCGCATAACTGGTTTTTCTGGCAGTTACCCTTTTACTAATTCGTCTTCACACATCTTCCTTGGAGCATTCGATCTAGAGATTCTCCTAGTTTCTCGATATGTACTAATGAATTCCTGCTTTAACATCAGTTTTTTCTTATCCTTTGAGGCAGTTTTATTGAAGAAAGCTAATATCGATATTATTGAGTTTTCTTGGTCGTCCTTTTCTTTCTTTTTCTTTGAATGTCTGAGTTGTTCCTGTCTATAAAGATTATATTTTACAGCATTTGAAGAGTTTTCCATGTTTGGTGCTATCATCCCCCGCTAGGTTCTTTCAAAATTTTATATCTGTTTTCTGCTCAGTAGACTTCAGCATTTAAATTACTTTCAGAGAAAATACTGTTAAAATGGAAAATTAGGAAATGAATCTTTATGCTTTCAAAATTCTTATAATTAATTCCGTTGGAAACAAAATTCTCCTTTGGTGCACAAAAAGAATAATGATATGAGATGTTGAATATTTTTAAAATCACAAGTAAATACAGAAATAAATTTCACTATTTCAATAACTAAATGACAAAGTCAATAAACTTTTGTTCGAAAATCAGCAAGCTCGCATACAAGTAATATTCTATTAAAAGTAAAGTAAAATATTTATTTTTCGCTTTCATGCATTTTGGCTTTGACAATGGTTGCCAAAAAATAAGACTTCAGGAGGGAAAATGATACTTTCAGGGGAACAGACAAAAAAAAAATTATTGTCAAAATACTGTAACCGAGAGCTGCATATATATGCACACATGTGTACCCAAAAATAGCTGCAAACTTTTCTCGGAATCCTCACCTCTTGCAACAAGAGAGAGAGAGCAAATGCTTCATTACATTATTAGCATTTAAATACGTCCAGATCACCACTTAACCGCTCTGTTTCCATCCCTATACCGAACATAGACATGTTTTTCTTTTTCTTTTCTATAAGATCTTTGTATAGTGTTGTGGAAATCTCAAATGGACATCATTAAATATCAGGCAGAAAAAGTGCAATTTCACAATATCTGAAATCGACTTCAGCTTATTTCTAAGTATTTGCTTCGTTGAAATACAAACTGAAGAATAAGTCAAAGGACAACTTCATGAACTTAGCAAACGTGTATTGCCAAAAGTAAATATTATGAAAGAAATTACTTTAAATCATTTTATTATCAAGCATTTATCGAAAATAAATGTATTCGGTGAACGTTTTGAAGCTATCTTTTGTGTATATATGTTTCTTTCATCTTCCATATATGATATTGCTCTATGCCACTACAGTTACCATTTAATTGCATATATATAAAGTTATAAAGGTTAGAAATGAAGTATTTTCTTTTCTGCATCAGTTTTGGATATCTAGAAGAATCTGCGTAATTAATATCAAAAACCTTGACGAAATCAAAATAATAAATATACTGCGAAACATCGTTTATACGTTTTTCTTTTATAAGTCTTTCTTTTCTAAGCATTTATACATAATTTTGTTTCAGTCCTGATTCATTCCTATTCATGTTAATAGTGAAATATTTCACATATACTGCAATCCGTCGATGAAGTACAATATATCGATATGGTTATATGTCGCTTTTTCTCTCTGGCTTATTCATCGATTTATCACTTCGCACTAGATGTTGTTACCAATTTCACCTGTCTGGCAATGCTCAGCACAAGCCCACGACTTTCATCGTGGAAATGAATCATTTTGGGCTGTTTTTGGCATGAGGTTTGAGCACCCTGTACGTGACAGACTGGACATAAGCTCGGTTCCGCTCCCAATTTTGAGGTACAGCACTCCGGGAGGACGGTGTCCGAGGGTCTCCCATCCTTCTTTCCCTTTCACCAACCTCTCCAGAGGACTTTCAGCTGGCTGCATATTTAGAGTGCCTCTATGCCGCACAGGCACTATACATTTAGAAACATCCATGCCTCCTCCAGGATTCGAACCCGGGCTTTTCAGTATGGGAATAAAAGTCACTAGCCACTATCCCAGTTGGACGGCACTTCGCAGCTTAAATAATATATTTGGATGCGATTTTTTTCCTTTAGTAGTATCTAGAAATTATACATGAGGGTACAGAGAGCAGAGAGAGGGGGGGGCTGTTTCAGGCTGCTACAGGATTTGTAATGTAGTTGGTTAACGGAAAGAGAAGTCCCTTGGTGAAATAACATAAAATGATTCTGCTAATCAAACAGTTTTGCTAACGACAGAAGCTTTAACCTTGTTTGATTTAGCAAATATTTTTAAATCAGCTGTTCCTTTCTTTTATTCCTTCTTCCTATAAAAAATAGTTGTCGAGAATCTTGAGCTACCCTGTATCAGTATTGAAAATAAATGGTCCTGAATGACAGGAAAAAAGTAGAAAGAAGAACAGCAGCTTGTGTAAAATTCTTTTTATATGAAATGCGTACTCAAAGGTGTGATATTTCTCGAGGTTCAGGACGCTTTCCGTGAAGTTTGCTTTCACTCAGTGCTATTCATCAAATACCTGTCTATTAATATTATGGACTTATGCCAATGTCAGAATCGGAAGAAGCAGTACTGTGGTTGAATGGGAAGGATGATTGTTTTTCATCTGGATTACAGCATAAATTTAAAGGCTATCGAATCTCATACCACGCTATAAAGGAAAATCTAAAGATATACCACCTGAATGTGTTGAAAACAGTTTCAAACATTTATCGAATAAAATAAATGGATGTAGGCTAAAAGACATTTTTAACGTTGAAACTAAGACTTTTCCCTTATTTCGTAACTGCAAGAAGACCAGATTTTAAAGGTGATAATAAAATGCAATTAAAAGAAAGTGAAGATCGCTTCACTGTTTTCTTCTGAGAAAATGCTGTTTGAATGAAAAATTATACTTCTAGTAACAGGAAAGTTACAAATACCAAGGTTTTTAAAAAGTTTCATAAAGCTAATAAAAGTTTGTCATTATAATATCAGCTTTGTCGTTATATTATGAAACAAATAGAAAGGCTTATTTGATAGCTGATATTTTTTTAGAATATCTGAAGGAAATCAATAAGGCGATAAGAAGACAAAACGATGAAGTATTGCATTCTGTTGTTAAGTGTTTACAATCTGAATTCTTATGATTTTAAAAAAGAAATATTTTACCTTTTAAAAAATGTATATGATATTGTAAACAAAATACAAAAAGAATGGTAAAGTAAAGTTTTATATTACCAATAATATAATAATAGCCTTAAATTTCAATAGACAAACGAAAATTTCTCGTGTCTCATCCTAAATTAAAAATTCAATTATATAATTCTCTTATTTGCAAGTCTTCCTTTAACAAAGACGACATATCAAAAATATCCTCGAAAGACGTATAAACGGTGCGTTATAGCAATGAAATTGCAAATATAAGTTTTTCCTTGTTTCTTTAACGTTAAATATATACATTCGCTATTGCTATATCATGCTTCTGTATGCTAACTATCGAGTATATACCGCACAGTTTATTTCATTTCTGATCTTTATGTTAACTTACATCCTCAGCTGTAAATCTCTTTGTTTCACTATGGGAGTAGTCTGTTTATGTTTTGGGTATATGATTTATCTACATGTCTGTGATTAAAAATGAATAAATAAACCAAGAATATGCTAATTAGTTAATTTTGAGCAATCCAACAAAGAGAACAACAATATAATAAATATTAAAAAATGCAATGTAAGAAAGAAAGATATAAAATGACAGAAGAGCAACGCAAAATAACCACTGAGAAAATGCTTGCATAATGGGATAATAGAGCTAAATTCTCAGATTTCAAACCTAAATTTATCGATTACCCTGTAGTTTCTACTTCAGGGAATACTATAAATGTAATGAAACCAACAAAATTCCAAGCAGTTACGTTTTTGATATCTGTAATGACGAGAAATTTTAGATGCACTACCAGTAATAACAGCAGAAATTTAAAGTTATAATTTTTTTTGAAACAATTAGAAAATTTTTAACTAACAGCTGTTTATTTCATTAGCTACTTAACAGCACAATAAAGTGCATGCCGAAACAGAAATTGACTTACACTTAACTTATATATTACGCTTAACTTAAAATATATTACACTTAACTTAAAAGACGAACACAAGCAATCGTATTTCCAATAACTTTGCTATTTAGTTTATTTTACCCCTCTAAAACCTTTTTTTTTTTTTTTTTTTTTCAAAATTTCATTTTTTTTTCTTTTACTTTGTTTTTCCTGCCATTAGGCTTCTTATGCTTTGCAAATTAAATCTATATATCTGATATATTTAATATTGCCAAATACCTTTGTGTTTCTTTTCTCGTCAGTTTATTACATTTTTTATCTTCTTTATCGAATATCGGTAACTAATTAATCATCACATTCTTGGTTTATTTATTTATAGTCAAATTTTTATTAATAGCTATTTTCAGCTGACTTAAGGTTGTTACTATTATTTTGTTACATATATATATATATATTTCATGTGCATATGTATAAAAAAGTGAAGAAAAAAACGAATATCAAATGCAGTAACAATAATTTATAACTATAAATGCCTTTTTAAATTTTTAACGTGTTTTTCCAATTATTGTATTATTTTATTAAATTGCTGTCTATGTTTTCAGTTACAGGATAATAATATTTTAAGAAGATGTTCGTTTGCTAATGTCTTCAACTTTCTTTTACGATTAAAGTGAACAACATTGATGTTATCTCTCTCCTTTTTTATTTTATATTATGTAATGCAATATTTGCCTTATTGTATTTATATTACTATTAACAAGTTTCTTACATTAAATTCTTTGGATTACGTTAATAAATGCAATTCATTCATTCTGCTTTCTTTATAAAATGAAAAAAAAAATTCTCATTTCACACTTTTTATTTATTTCAATTTAAAAAAATGAAATCAAATAATGGTAGTTTAGATTCTTCAACAGTGTTAGTTATTGCGAAGGTTTTATTCCAGGGAACAAATGAAGCACATGCACGGTATTGTGACGACGTTTGTGGCAACTCGAAGTGGACTTTTAAGGTTTCATGATTATCGAACAGAAGAAGAAAAGGCAAACAGTACAGAAAGGTGAGATTACAATATTATACTGATATTATACAGGGTGAAAATAAAGTCGATCCCTGAGTACAAATATTTTACAAGAAACTATACCTAGTATACTATACTAGGTATAGTTTAGTAATAAGTAGGCCACAGAAAAAAGCAATTACATTTCGTGCCTCATTAAACTTAACGGAAGTTTTGAAATTTTTTTGGATTTAATCCTGCAGATATTAAGAACATCCCTATACTGGAAACTTTTCTCAAGCATTTTAAGAAAAATGAAACATTGTTGACCTACCAAGAAGTATCAGGATTTCTGTGAATGATAAGATTCTGATGGCTTTTGTTAATCGAACAGAGAATATATCAAGAATATAGTCTTCTTAGGTTGCCGTAGGCCACGAAACACGAGTTCCTGGGCCGGAGCCCTATCCCGGGCTAACAAGATATGCGATAAACGTAGCATGAAAACGTAACATATAAATAATACAATAACGTATAATAAGCAGAACAGTCCTCGTAGCAATTCGTTTTAGGGTGAAAAAAACGATGGCAAATTGTTCATAATAAAGGCTATATACGAAATGAAGTATGTCCGCCGATATCGGAGCTTGTATCTAAAGCACAGATGGAGAAGTTGAAGCGATGAGATAGGTCAAATGGTACACGTGACTGAAAGTTTAACGATTGGTTGGCGGAAGCTTAGCTATTGGCTGAAAGTAAGGAAAGCACCAGAGCCAAGAACTTAATCTGTGCCACACAAGCTCGTCATACAGATACTTTAAAGGCCAGAATCTATTGTGGGTCAAGTTTTACACAGCAAATGTTAAACAACAATTAAAGAGAATTGGAAAACCGACTTCTGCAAGCTACAAAGGGGACAAGCATGGAATTTTTGTGTTCCACCCCGTAGAATTACCGAAATTGAGAATTAAATTTTCTAAGATTTCAGCCCCTGTTCTAACATGGCAAAACCAAGTTGGTAAATTCAGTGAAAATTCAAACTGCTGCAGTTTGGTGTCCTAAGCTATTTTATACATGTTAAATGGAATTGAATTGAGTTAGAGCATATGCGTTGTCTTACCCAGTAGAATGATATCTTCAATTTTCTAATGTTCATACGTTACAGAGACCTGATAAGCTAAAGATCTGCCTTCTGTTAGGAGTAACTCTGGGTATACAGACCTCTAAAACAGTCTTACTGGTAGATACAGGACTTCATCACCGCATCTATAATCAGTTACAGGACTACACCTGTAAATATGCAGATAGGTCCCGCATTTATTATGATTGTTCTTCAACGAATAAAAAGATTGCCCTTAAAGCTACGTGTTTAACAAATCTTTGATGGAAAGCTAAGCGATCTCTGTTTATGTCCGAATGCAAGCGCATGGAGACTCAAATCAATATTTAAATGGTATTTTGAATCTGACTTAAAAAAGAATTCGCTTCTAATAATTTGGATTTAAGAGACGATGTAAGACGACACTGCCTTAAATGTCTCTCTTTGGAAGAGGATGAGGGATACAACACTTAATCTCTCTGTGTACGGGCCGTATTCCTACGGATCGGTAAATAGTAATATTTGTTCTTTGCTTCAAGATCTGATGTAAAGTCGCCTAGCGATTACATGGCGATTTAATCTCACCACAAGAGCGTGTCTTCGTGGTACAACAGCAACCCTTAACAAATCTTGACCTTTCCGATGAATAAGTGATAAGAAAACATTAAGACACAATAACACGCCGAACAAATACTAATTCAGAAGTCAAACAACAAAGATCAGTGTTATATTTTCAAAATTTTCACAGATAAGAAAACATCTCCGCCTGTTTGAAATAACGTTTTGTAGAATAATTAAATCTTTAGACACGTCTCATAACGATTAGTTAGCTTTCAGTCTGCCAGAAATTATAGTCTGGTACTCTAAAATAGACACTTCAATCCCAGATCGCAGTTATCACTGCACAGCATTTATTTTCTCCACGTCTTCTGAGAATGTACTTAAAGTCAACGTTCATTCGCGTGTTTTTCATGAAGCTAAACACGCTAAAAAAATTAAGTGAGAGGAAATTTCTTTCTTTTCTGCACGTGTTGTTTAAATTGGATGGCGGAAAATAACACTGAAATTCATATTTTAAGTTAACAGACTATAGCAGCTGACTTATAAGGGTTTCATCAAGGCTTGTTTAAATATTATGTGAATATTTACTAGCTCATAAACATCTTAAGAGTAAGAATACATAGGCAGGTGGTAGTATCTCACTGGTTCATAATCTCCTAATTCTTTGAATTAATCTAGTAACAGATATGCATTTCCTACTTCACTAATTTCAAATTAGAATATGCATTTACCTTCAAAAACTTTAATCAGTAATAAGTTTTTAACTACTGTTTGAACAATTTAATTATAAGGTATTTTCGCTTTTCTTTCGGCATGCCTTCACCATGTAACTGGAAGCAAACTCGGCGCGTATTCGGGAGGTTTGGGATTTTAATCCCGGCGAAGGCACTGCACATTTTTCACTATTAAAAAAAACCTAATGACTCTACAAAATTATAATTTTAAGGTAATTAATTATGTATTAATTATCTTCAATTTTTCCTTTTAAATTTGCACACTAGTGTAGTTGTGGCAGCAGTATACTTTTCCCTTTCCTCAATAATTCTTGATACGTAATTTTTTTAGATCAACAAGAGTAAAATATTCTTCCGTTACAAATTCCTTTTTTTTGTATTAAATGTGAAACTCTTTTGCAGGCCTTTTTACGAGACTCATACAAAAGCTATAGACGAATTATTCTACAGAAGAGCAGTCGATTTTTATCACATAAATAGTTCTGCGTTTGTGTTTGCCGTTCCATTTGACGCAGGTACGTAACACTTTTTTTTTTTTTTTTTTTTTTTTTTTGTACATTCAACGCATTTAGCAATTATTCCCCCGTAGAATCAAAATTACTGTATACTTTTTGAGACGTTTCCGAAACTGAATTCTTTGATAAGACCAAAGATAATAATATCAATAAAAACAACGTACTTAAAAAATAGGGGAAGAAAGGAAAAAATATGTAATTTACTAAAATTCCAATCACTCTACCTTTTGAAAGCTGAAACTAGATTCTTATAAATGAAATAAATAAATAGAATAATATAATTTAGGAGCATCATTTTTCCAAAACATATAATTTTTTATATAAACCTGTTTCAATAACGCCAAGTATATAGTTTTGTTCCACATCGTTATGTTTTGAGGCATTTTTATAATCTGACGAATTAAAAACTATAAATGTTGTTTTGCGAAACGGTCAGGTTAGTCTTGAAATGCGTTAATTATGCATTCTAAATTCGTCATAGATAAACGATCTGCTTGTTACTATTTATCACCCTACCTTAATAATAATCATTCTAACTAAGGTTATTTTCCTAATTTCTGAAAGACAGGCATTACAAATCTTGAAAATCTTAAATCGCAAGCAAACTTTGTACGCTAAACATAACTTTTCCTCGGTTGTTCTATTAACAACATTTAAGCAACTGCGTTATTATGAAGTGTGAGTGCTTCGTCAAATACATTAAGGCTATGAATATTGATTTCTATTGTTGCTGCTTTGTATGCCTGTTGAGTCTGCTAGGTTCTGTTTTCTGTTTTTGTTCACATTTATTTGAAATTTTATGACGTGTGGATTAGTTGTCAGAATATTTTTAACTTAAGTCGTGTTAGGTGGTTGCAATATTTCTTCCCTGATTTTATAATAAAGGTGATAGAAAAAGTATAGTTAATGGAAAGTAAATATTCAGTAAGAAATGAACTTAAGATAAAATTTCAAGATGAACCAATAATGGATAGATGTAAGCCAAGAATTCAACTCAAGGCTAAGTAGAAAGGGATAAAGACATACAAGAGGTCAAAGATCCGTTGAAGGATATCAACAATGAACTTTCCATCCCATGAAAAAATGTGTACGTTAGGAGCAAACAAAACTGGAGCAAAAATTTAAAGGCATTGAATAGAGGGAAAAAGCTGTATTAAAAACAAAATGCAATTATTGTAATATGCAGAATAGAGATGGATGTGTCTTAAAGTTATAGAAACCAAGAAATGATTTAAAAACACATTATAAGCTAGAACGACAATAAAAGATAATGTGAACACAATAATTTTTCATGCTTTTGATGCACTGTGTGTAAAAATACAGTACTAAATATTAAACTCGAAAAACAGGAAAAAAAAATACCGCAATTTTATATTCTTGGTTGAATGAGAAGCACTTATGATAGCATAAATAGTATAAAAACTTTTCATTCATATCATGTTCAAGAATTAATAGAATTTGGTATAATGGCTTCTCTTGATAACCAAGAGCCTAACATGAGAGAGAACCATAATCTGCTTAAATTCTTTACTATGTCTTTACGTAAAATATTTTAAAACTCTAGTTTCTTTAATGCCAAGCTTTGTTAAAGGACGAAAACAATTAGTTATACTACTAACACTTTTAATGCACATTTCATAGCTGCGTAATTTTATGATACCAGTGGGTTAGAGAATATGCCCTTGATAAACTTTATGCATTAGGCATCAGATATGAGATTATGAAAATTTATGACTAATTTCTGAATGAAAGTTTTTTTTTTTTTAATTTTTAGGCAGTCGGGGCTCAAGTTTAGTAACAGCAAGCCAAGCTATATTTTTGGGGAAGGGAAAGAAAAAAGCTCCTGCTGCTGTCGTTGGGGTTCAGTTTCAACATGCTGCCTTCAAAGAAAGATTTCTCAATATGACAGGAACGGTAAGATCTGTGGTAGAGTTTATTCTTCTGTATTTTATTCTATAAAATTTTAATTTGTTCATACATTTCATATTTTTGTATATGATTAATGAAAAGCATAAGTAATCGTAATTTTGCTGTAAAGCTTTATCAAGAAGGTAATAACTAAAATGTAATAAATCTATTTAAGAAACATTAACAGCATATTAACAGATTATCTTCGCATCTTATAGAATTTCACTGAAATTTTCATTGGAATTAATTTTGCCCAATATAGTATGTAATGCACTTCACACATCAAAAGGAATCACAATCCCGTCTTCCGCAAAACAAACAACAACTGATCATAATTTGAGGTGTATATTTACTTCAGATCTTGAGGTGGATTACCGGTTATGTTTCCATCATTATCCACAGCTAGTTTTCCATTTGAGGTTGGCGGCATTCAAACGAAGACCAATTACATTCCAACATGCTCGATTAGAGAATAATCTCGAGACAGTGATAGCAAAGGAAGTATTTAGGTACTTTGCAAAGTTCGGATGCTGATGCGCAGCTGTGTGCGGTCGTGCCTTCATTGCATCTCTTACGTGGTTAGAATTGATCAGCTATTGTTGCTAACAGCACCTCAAACTAAGATGCCACGCTCGCAAACTATTCGACGTTCAAATTTCAGAATTCAACAGGACTGGAACTGTCTTTACGTTAGTCCCAAACTCCGACCTATCTTCAGACCATCGTGCCTCCAAATCCTGTGTACAGTCGAAAATGTTAATGCGCTTCATATGTAATATGATAGTATGACCAAACATTAGCATATAGGCTTAAAATGAAAAAAAAAAATCCTTAAAGCGTCCACTCAACAGAATTTTCTTTTGCAGCGTCTCCCAATTACCTTTCTAATTTAGCTTTTATTCTGAAAGGGTAAACAATTAAAGAAAAAAAGAGTCTCCGTGGACACGAGAAAATGACAAATGTATGCACACCTAACTTTTCTTTCCTTTTATTCCGCTAGCTAATCATGAACTTACGTGTATGATATACGATTTCCTTACAATTTGCATAATGTTACGGCAAAATCTGCATAATGTTGCATTTTCTCTATTACGTAGTGTATTAAGTCGCTAATTCCACACACCACTCTGAAACACTGCCTATTTTGTAACTCATACTTAAATTTTCTTTATCAGTACAGATAGGAAAACATAGATGTACAAATATAAATCAACTATGAAAAATTAGATAGAACACCGCTAATAAAAGTACCCAAGCAAAACAAAATATAGTCCCAAAAAATCTACAAAAACAATAGTAGTCAAACAATAATAGTCTCACAAAAGCAATAATAGTCTTACAAAAGCAATAGTAAAATTTAATAATTTTATATAAAAGGCTTGAAATAATGTATACATGTTTCTCTTTCAGTGCCAAAATACTACATGCATTTACAAGTGCACAGATAAGGTAAGTACCTAAAAATACATTTTTGTAACAATATTTATCAACCACAAATTTTAAATCAGGTTCCGAAGTTAATTGACGGATAATTCGAATAGCGTAAATAAGCAAATTAGCTTTCTGAATAGCAGATTTTAGTTTTATTGCTTCTGAAAGCCTCGTGACATATCTTGTGGAATGTAAGGTTTTTTGCATTTTTTTTTTCTTAAATAATGATAAAAAATGCGAATTTTATTTTATAACTAAAATCACTAGCTCCTGTTTTTGTTTATTTATTACTGATGGGCTTTCCAAAACTCTCATAAAATTTATGAAATCAATAGTACAGAGGCCAATGTTCTGAAGATTGCCTGTGACTAAAATTCTCTGTTAATGGAGGAAAAGGCAAGAGAAATTATTCCTGAAAATAACATTCCATTTGTAAAAATATTATAATTTCTGAGGGTAGCTCGGAAGGATGAGAGGAATTCAAAAGCGATAAATCATTTTTTAAAAAAGTTTGGCCTTTTCTGTAGTTGAACCCGGGATTTTGTCACCATCGAACCAATGTGCTGATAGTTAAACAGTAGAACATAGAACTGCCTTTATTCCTTACAAACACTTGCAAAATATAAGTAGTAAACTAATAAATGAATCTAATCTGAGCGTAATTTATTGTACAGTAATCTGATTCGAATGAAAGCGTTTCATGTTGTGACTATGCTGATAATTTGTCTATTCGCACACGCACAAACAGTCCGCAAGCTGAACTTTAACCCCAATGAAAAAAAAGAGAAGAGAATTGTTTAACAATAGAAAGAATATGTTTGAAGCAGTCTTATGTCTATGAGCCGACATTCCTTTTTAAAAGAAAAACAATGAATCGCAATACTGGCACATTGTGTTTGAGAAGTAAAAAAAAAATACAAATTAGTTTTCCTGGTCCCTTTCATCTCAGAGGAAAAAAACAAGTTGTTTTCACATATATTTAAACGTCTCAGAAGCTAAGTAAATGCACTACAGTTAATTACATTCAATGCATTCTCTACATCAGTGGTTCCCAGTATTTTATGCACTCCGCTCACCTAGAAAATGTTGATTAATTGTAAAAGTTGTAGAGTCCAATAGATGAAATTCTGTCTGAAATTGGAGTAGCAGGAAACTACACAAGAGAAAGCTTAAAGTACCCTTTATTAAATCTTTGAAAATTTACAATGCGTCAACTTGACGCTAACATACTTCGCCTCTGCTTGGGCGGTAACTGAAAATCAATTAACGAAACTAAAAATTTGAAGATATTAACAAACGGCAGAACTAGACTACAGGGCTCAGCGAAATCCCGTAACTTTTAAACCCCCTTCGAAGCTACTGGCAGCAAACAAATGCAATTAAGCCACTTGAACCAGCAATAAGCAAACGTACTTACAACAGAGACGGCGGCTAGAGACTAATTCTTTCTTCTACCGGGCTCACCAGTGGACGAGAGGTAAAGTTGCTGAACACTGGTGGTACGGTGCGAGGTTCGAATCCCGCGAATGGTCTGGCTGCATGGGTGTTTTCGTGGTTTTCTCCATGTGTAACGTGTATATGAGCCAGTTTTCTTAGAAAGTCCTCCACGAAGGCATCCTTCCCCTTAGACAGATAGCTTTAGTGTGCTTTGCCATAATTAAATACACCACACCACCTTTCTCTTATCGAAACTCGGCTTTTAAATACTTTCTTTAAAGTAGAAATTTGCATTCCTTCAGGCGCGCTACAACATTTAACTATACTGGCACGGACAGTTAGGAGAATGAAGGCTTATAGGAAAGTTTGAACTTAAACTTTAAATTGTTAGTTAAAATAAATATAAATCCCTACAAAGTATTGATTCGCATTCCCTGCGCATATATTTGTATGTATTTTGACTGCTGGCTATGTAATTGTAACACCTAACTATTCTATAAATAAATATTATAAGAAGGCGGTGTCACCTAATGGTACTTCCTAAATGTCGACAAGTTACAGCCCTGACTACAACCACTTGCACAAGCACAGATTAAAATTAAATAAACTTTATCCGTCTCAAGTCATGGATTACATATAAAGCCAGAATTTACAAATTAAAAGAGTCGATTACTTATCGGCAATAACTAGCAAAATTTTAGGCCACGTGCATTGAAATAGATAATTATCAAAAACAAATCTTCTAAACATTGCACCTGGAGTTTTTCTCGTTACGTCATTATAGAAAGGAATTTTTACCAGCCTCGAGCATTAACATAATCATTCCGTCCTCCAATAATTACTAAAATCTTTCTAGACACATCAGCGCTAGTTCTTACGAACAGCAAAACGACTCTTGTCTCAACAAAGCATGAGCTGCAGTCAACCTTCTCTAGCTTTTAAATTCTCTGCCGCATGCTTTAGTTTGCATAACCTTGCTGTACGAATGAATGATGTAAATGAAAGGTAAGATAGTGCTTTACTTAACTGTTGGTTAACTTAAAATAATTTTCATACTGTAACTCAGTTATAATTCAGGACACAAACCACACATCGTATGTACCTCAGATGTTCCATCTTGGATCCTCTAATGTTCCGAAGACCCAAAATTGAGAATCTCTAATCTAACTGATAATTCAGGGGAAAAAAATGTAATTAATTTTATTCAAAACATTCCTTTCTCCCACTCTTCGCTTTATTAAATGTCATTCATATACAAGGTGCGCCCGTAAGGTAACCGGACAATTCAAAAGACCTAACGATAAAATATCAGAAGTAAAATAATAAGTGGATGTTTAGAAAGTGTGACATCTAAACTCTTGTTAAAACCTGTTTAAACTGGTTATTTTGTCGTCTGCATATTAAAACGCCGGAATTATTTTCATTTAGTAAGAAAACGTCGCGCAAAAAATTTGCTTCGAGATGGAACAACGTTATAACATTAAATTTTGCTAAAAAATGAGTTATACCGAAATGTTAGAGATGTTTCGAACAGTATATGGTGACGCTTCGTTATCAAGAACACAAGCGTATGAGTGGTATAACTGCTTTAAGTATAGGCATGAAACGTTGAAGATGAACCAAGGATAGGGCGCTCATAAACTTCAAAGAACGAAGAAAATATGCAGAAAATTTGTTCTTTGGTAAAAGCTGACAGACGTTTAACAAGTCAGCAATTTTCAGAGATGCTTGGGAAAACAAATGAAGCTGTAGATTAATTTTAATTGAAAATCTGAAAATAAGAAAGTTTACCCTCGATTTGTACCTCGAATGTTGACAATACAGCAAAGAGAGCACAGTAAAACTTGCTGTGAAGATTTGCGAGACAGGACAACAATTTTTTAAAGTATATCATAACGACAAATGAGATCTGGTGTCTACAATACGACCCAGGAAAAAAAAAAAAAAGACAAAGTGCACGGTGGAAAGGACCGTCTTCTCCCATAGAAATAAAATATAAGCGGATGTCGAAATCAAAGGATAAGGTGTAGTTGATTGAATTTCTTAATTACGAAGGACTTACTCACTATGACTTCATCCCTGAAAATTAACAACATTTTCTTGCTAAGCATCCAATTGGCACTTATAAGTCACCCACCATATGCTCCCGACTTATCGCCATTTTTTACCTTTTTCCGAAACTTAAGGAGACCATGAAAGGTCGAAGATTTGAAAAGGTATAGGATATTAAATAAAATTTTACATTTATTTTGCGAACGGTTAGTTCCAATGCCTGTGAATTATGTTTGAATAAAGAAATGTTGGAAAAATTGTATAGACTCTTCTAGAGCTTATTTCTAAGGAGATAAATTTATTTGAACATGTGTATTCATTTTCTTGTTCATAAGAATCTGTCCGTTTACTTTATGGACACATCTAGTGTATGTGGCTGGGTAGGAGTGGAAATGGAAAGAAAATGAATAAAATTTGTGATTTAATATTGATTACTATTTTAATAAATTAATTCAGCCAGTTATTCTAAACTTAAATTTTCATAAAATATACTGCGTTCCATCTTTTTTTCTGATCTTTTCCTTAACATTCCGATCTCTTTTTTAGGAAATGGACTGCTTTTTATTGGACAATAATGGATTTGTTGTAGTTTCAGAAAATAATGCACATGTAAGTATTAGTAAAAGTTTTTAATACGTAATATATTGGAGTATAAACACTCGTAAGTTAAATAAAAACATAAAAAGTTGAAAGCAAAATTTTGATGATTCGTTTAGCAAATGGCAAATAAATTAATTGTACATAAAATAAGATGTCAATTGCCATTAAACTAGTATATGTGAAATATTACTTGTCTTTATTTGATCACTGTGTTTAGTAGCTGAATGGATTTTCACTATATTCTGTAATTTTTAATATTTTAATATGTATATAATATAAAATAATAGTAGTATTAACATTATCTATAACATGAAAAGAGCATAAAAATTGCTGAAGACAGAAACAACACAAACACACACAAAAAAAAGTCTACTCTATATGCTTCCAACTTCACATGTTACAGAGATTTTTTCAATACGTATCTTTACGCTGCTAGATATAAGGTGCTGTTAAGCATAATGATTATTATTATCTCCTCAAATAAATTTATTTAATTTTAATGGCATAATAATTAATAATTTATAATTATTATTAATAATTAATAATTAGGGCATAATGGTTAGGCATAAGGATTATTATTATCTCCTCAAATAAATTTATTTAATTTTACTAAACATATCTTGAGAAAGTGATGTCCTGCCCCCTTCCCTCGTGCAAAGGGAAATTTTGCTCACCAATGTGATTCAAAATTAGGCAAATAAAGCAACCTTACCTTGGCGTAGATTTTGAACAACTCTCTATCCATTAAGGCAGTGAGACATGAGTCCCTTTTCTTCGCGAACAACATATTTGGGTATAATTAATTCAGTCTAATTAACTCATGTATCTAATTAATCCAATGTAATTAATTCAAAAGCGATCGAGTAGATCATGCTCTATAAACTGTTATAAATTTATCTTGTTATAGTTACTAAGAAATGTAGTACACAAACATAATAACAGGAAGCAAAGATTGTTTTCTTGAAACCAATGGTAAGAAATCTTAAAAGCTTATAACTTTAAGTTTGTGAAAACGTCATTTATGTATAAATTTAGGAAAAAGTTGCCAAAAAAAGAAAAAGATTTTCGAATCATACATTTTTAATATGATTGAAGCAACATTATTTTTACGTAGCATAAAGATACTAAGATTTAAGAAATACAGCAGAAATTCTGTTTACTGCACGTGGGGTTTTTTTCTTCTAAACTTTGCAGCTACCGTTAAATATTTTTCCAAAATTTTAAATTGAGTATCTTATGGCACAACAGATGGCGACACCATTCTGTGAGAATGCTAGTTTTAACTAGCGGCTACAATAGTTTTAACTTTTTTGCCCCATGCACCCCTTTCACCTTGACGATCATCCCCCTCCCTTTCCCCAAACACTGAAAATACGTAAAAATTTATTTAAATTACCTTTACTGTGTTTTATAAAATAAACAAGAAAAAGTATAGAAAATATTGATAAATACCAAAATTTGAATAAAAGTGGTTTATATATTCATAAACTAAATACTTAAAACTAAATAAAACGTTGGCCCCATTGCACCCCACCAAAACTATGAAATTACGCCTAGGGGAATTTCACCTAGTAGAGAACTCCTGATTAAGAATAAAAAATAATAATCAAGAGTTATAGAACACAATACATATAGATATTCCAAAAATCTTTAAATACGTTCAGAACTAATTATTCGAATTTTGTTTTCGATAGAAAGTTTAGTTTGATATGAGTTTATGATATTTTTAAGCTTCCAGTTTTCAACTATCTATTTAATATTCCTAAAGTTAATTAATTTCATATTTTTGAAGGAAAGGAATAGAACAAGAAGGTTTATATTCTTGTGTTTTGTAATATACATATGTGTTAATGTGTTAAGTGTGAACACAATGTGTGACGTGACAGATGCACTCTAATGTTACAGGAGATTATTTTTGTACACAATGGAGAATTTAAAACTCATCTGAGCATGACTAATTGCTGTAGCCCAGGGAACGGTCTGCATATAGATGCTTCTTGATCTTCGATTGGACTACATCTTATTAAACTCATTAGAATGACTAAACTATTGATCATTATAACTATACTAAGCTACATTCTAAACTTTGACCAATAACTCTTGGATAAACTCATAGATGCAGAAGTTGCTGTTTTAACCCACGCGCTCGGATAAAATTAACCCAGCTAAAAAGAATTTCGAATAAATGAGTGAACATATTATCGAGGGCCTTAGATATCAATGTACCATTCAGAGTCATTTATCAGATAGTAAGTACATAAATGGAAAGTATTTCATGGTCACATACTTATCTGGTTTCCAGAAGAGGGATTTATTATTATAGGAATACTTTTCTCCATTTCGCTTGCTATGTTTCAGTAGAAAAATGCAATAAACCAAATCACCATTATTTTGTCACAATACTCGGTTATATAGTAAAATAAACAGTTGTGCTCAGATGTATGTAATTCTGTGTTAATAAAGCTGTTCCGAAAGTATACACTTAAAAATCACAGAAAAAAAGCAAAATACGTTATAGTTGGAACAAACATGCATATTTATAGAAAATTCCTATTTGTAGAATACTTCCCATTTGATATACCTATTTGTAGATTATTTTTCATTTAATATTCATACAGAGGCTGTTCACACATTTTTTTAGACAATGAATATTGTATTCACAAAACTAAATTACATAAAATTCTTGTGTTTCAAATGTTCTATTTGACATCCCTTATTCTGAACTATCTTTCGACACCGCAGTTTCCAGGATAATAATGCCTTTTGAAGTGGCAGAAGAGGTATTCTATCCCATTCCTCCAGAACAGCTTTCCAGAGTCCTGTTAGGGTTTTGGGACAACGTTTGGATAATGCAGTTTTTAAAAGTCCGAAAGCACAAAAATCCATAGTTGACACATCGGGAGATTTAGTAAGGATATCAGTGAAGGATATGGCCTTGATAGCAGTTTTTTGTTCCATTTCTTTTAGGAAATTGACAGTGGATTTTGATGTGTGACTGCTAGCTTTGTTCTGATGGAGTCTCACAGATTGATGGCACTGTGGGTAAGGCGATGGTATTTCGTTCAGAAAAACTGGCGATAAAATATGTTCCTGATAGTATTTGGAGTTAATCTTGACATTTGTTGGCACTCTCTTTATTTTTAACTTGCCATTATAAGAAAAACCAGCAACAATCATGAATCCCCTAGAAAAACTTTCTTTCGATTCTTTGAACCATGTGCTTAATTTTTTTCTCCCCTTTTATGATAATAAATGGCACTTTTTTTTGTTACAATCATTTAAATACACCCATTCTTCATCTATTGTGACAATTGTTATCTATTTTTCTTTGGATAAGTGTTTCTCATATAGAATTCTGCAGCGGTCCTGCGTTGAGCGATATGCTTTGGAAGAAGACGATGCACATTGCGTTTTTTCGCTTTCTTAATATTTAAATTTACGTTTATCATTTTGTTTACAGTGAACACCGAGCATTTTAATGATTTTCAACTGTCCTTTGACTAGGGGGATTTTCTTTTAACATTAAACAACGTACCTTTGCAATAGTCGAAGATCTCCGTTTTTTCCTTTGATACTTGTTTGGAATTTTTGTCCCATTTGAGGCTCCAATTTGACGTTTCTTTCCTTTCTTGTTGATGATATTACCTATCGACGCTTTAGATATCACAAAACCATGACTCTCACATTGTTTTTGGATAACGGAGTATGCATATTTCTCTTCGGAAACAGCGTAAATGTAGCCTTCGAACAACTGCTTTGTTAAATTCGCCATTTTGAATAAAAACAAAACTTTCAAGCCACAGACAATAATTTTGACTTTTAAAAACATAGTACAATTGCAATTACTTCTTTTACAGCAAATGATGTTTTATTACCTCTTACCAAAATCGTCTAAAAATGTGCGAACAGCCTGTATTTGTAGTATTAAATTACATATTTGTATTATACCATATTGAATATCTATTTGTAGAATACTTTCTATTAATTAGGTATCAGAGTATTTGTAGAAAATGCTCTAATGCCTAATATCTATAAAAAAACGTTTCTCCTTTTAAGTCATTGTCTTCGTCTTTTATTTATTTTATTTTTTGTTAGCGAGATTTAATTTGGGGGATAAATAATTTCGCCTCGCGTACTTACTATATGCAAATCTGCGAGTGCGCCCAAAGGTACATATGCTGAGAGATGTTACTCTACGTGTGATCAAAATTATTTAAGAATTATAAGAATTATTATAAGAATGAAATGCATCATCCATTTTATTCAGTATTGTATCGAAAATGGAAAACGGTACGACTGCACAGGTATCCATCATTAATGCACACAGCTAAAAATGCAGAGGGCGTAAAACATGTTTGAAACGTTAAGCCATTTAAAAACTGTCATAAAGTTAACGGACATTTTTGGAGTGCTTAATCGATTCTTCAAAAAGATATCAAGTTTTGTTTGCACTTTCATCTTTTCATTATTTATATCTCTGCGACAAGCAAGAATACTTTCTTTCAGCCTTTAAGCGTCTTTTATGTATGTGCTATATGTACCAAGATGCATCACGTATTGCTAGCCAAGAAATCAGTCTAAATACAAAATAGGTTTTACTGAATGCATAACACCATGGTATCATCGTTCAATCATAAATTCTTAAATCCTATCATTGTAAGTACCGGATCTCATCTGTATGAGATCTTGATCCTCAACAGAAATAGCAGTCAAATAATAAACCAATCAACTACCCGCAAAGAAAGGATAATGTGAGATTTTTATTTCCGAAAATCTCAGTGAAAAGAAATATATGCAATAATGTAGCGTATCTTTTGATCTATTAACAATTATCTTTTCATAATGTATAATTTGTCCTACACAACGGAAAATAATCCTTCCGATAAAGAATGCTTTTTCTTAACTTCCTTAGTTTATATAATTTTTATATAAAAGAATATTTCCATAACAGAATGATTTTTGCATTTGTGGTTAAAATATTATTGAACTAATTCTCTTAAAATTATTCA